TAAAAACAAAAAAAAATCTAATAAGAACTATGCAAGAAGTTTAAAAATAATTGATTGCTTATAAAATGTAAGTTTTCATAGGTATGGATTATATACAATGTAGATACTGCATTGTTACCACCCGGGCAAATGAATAGTATATACAAAAGTAATGAATAAAAAAGTAAAAAATGATTATATACAGAGGAGAGCTATAGTTTAAGAGCATTCTATTAAGATGATAAAAATGTTATTTCCTTGTACAAATTTGTAGTGGACAGAGATTATTTTTACCTTCAACTGATTAAATTCTGTTTAGAGAACTTAATGATGAATATATTTATTTCTAGATAGTTTTTGATGTCAGAAAATGTTGGGGTTCAGAGCAAACAGTCTTAAGACATCTTTGGTGCAAGGGGCACCTGGGTGGCTCAGTGGATTAAGCCGCTGCCTTCGGCTCAGGTCATGATCTCAGGGTCCTAGGATCGAGTCCCGCATCGGGCTCTCTGCTCAGCGGGGTGCCTGCTTCCCTCTCTCTCTCTCTCTCTCTCTCTGCCTGCCTCTCTGTATTTGTGATCTCTCTCTGTCAAATAAATAAAATCTTAAAAAAAAAAAAAAGACATCTTTGGTGCAAAAAGGTGGTTTTATTAAAGCACAGAGACAGGACCCATAGGCAGAAAGAGCTGCACTGGGGTCATGAGGAGTGGCTGATTATATACTTTCAAGTTGGGAGAGGGATTATATACTTTCAAGTTAGGGATAGCTTAAGACTCTAAGAAATCTTGGAAGCAAGGTTTCCAGGAGGGGGCTAGCTAGCCATTGTTAGGAAAAGATCATTTATTTCTAATAAAATCCTAGTCATGAGCCCCTTCAGATGTTTATCAGTGGGCCGTATGCTTGGGGGATGACTGCCAACATACATCTTGAGGGGTAGAGATAAAAGGAGTTTCCAAAGGAATTTTATTTTAAATTTATTTATTTATTTATAAATATATAATGTATTTTTATCCCCAGGGGTACAGGTCTGTGAATCACCAGATTTACACACTTCATAGCACTCACCATAACACATACCCTCCCCAGTGTCCATAACCCCACCCCACCCCCAACACCCCTCCCCCCAGCAACCCTCAGTTTGTTTTGTGAGATTAAGAGTCACTTATGGTTTGTCTCCCTCCCGATCCCATCTTGTTTCATTTATTCTTCTCCTATACCTCCCTAACCCCCCATGTTGCATCTCCACTTCCTCATATCAGGGAGATCATATGATAGTTGTCTTTCTCTGATTGACTTATTTGACTAAGCATGATACCCTCTAGTTCCATCCAAGTCGTGGCAAATGGCAAGATTTCATTTCTTTTGATGGTTGCATAGTATTCCCTTGTATATATACCACATCTTCTTTATCCATTCATCTGTTGATGGACATCTAGGTTCTTTCCATAGTTTGGCTATTGTGGACATTGCTGCTATAAACATTCGGGTACATGTGCCCCTTCGGATCACTACGTTTGTATCTTTAGGGTAAATACCCAGTAGTGCAATTGCTGGGTTATAGTGTAGTTCTATTTTCAACTTTTTGAGGAACCTCCATGCTGTTTTCCAGAGTGGTTGCACCAGCTTGCATTCCCACCAACAGTGTAGGAGGGTTCCCCTTTCTCCGCATCCTCGCCAGCATCTGTCATTTCCTGACTTGTTAATTTTAGCCATTCTGACTGGTGTGAGGTGATATCTCATTGTGGTTTTGATTTGTATTTCCCTGATGCCGAGTGATATGGAGCACTTTTTCATGTGTCTGTTGGCCAGCTGGATGTCTTCTTTGCAGAAATGTCTGTTCATGTCTTCTGCCCATTTCTTGATTGGATTCTTTGTTCTTTGGGTGTTGAGTTTGCTAAGTTCTTTATAGATTTTGGACACTAGTCCTTTATCTGATATGTCGTTTGCAAATATCTTCTCCCATTCTGTCAGTTGTCTTTTGGTTTTGTTAACTGTTTCCTTTGCTCTGCGGAAGCTCTTGATCTTGATGAAATCCCATTAGTTCATTTTTGCCCTTGCTTCCCTTGCCTTTGGCGATGTTCCTAGGAAGATGTTGCTGCGGCTGAGGTCGAAGAGGTTGCTGCCTGTGTTCTCCTCAAGGATTTGGATGGATTCCTTTCTCACATTGAGGTCCTTCATCCATTTTGAGTCTATTTTCATGTGTGGTGTAAGGAAATGATCCAATTTCATTTTTCTGCATGTGGCTGTCCAATTTTCCCAACACCACTTGTTGAAGAGGCTGTCTTTTTTCCATTGGATATTCTTTCCTGCTTTGTCGAAGATTAGTTGACCATAGAGTTGAGGGTCTATTTCTGGGCTCTCTATTCTGTTCCATTGATCTATGTGTCTGTTTTTGTGCCAGTACCATGCTGTCTTGATGATGACAGCTTTGTAATAGAGCTTGAAGTCCGGAATTGTGATGCCACCAACTTTGGCTTTCTTTTTCAATATTCCTTTGGCTATTCGAGGTCTTTTCTGGTTCCATATAAATTTTAGGATTATTTGTTCCATTTCTTTGAAAAAAAATGGGTGGGATTTTGATAGGGATTGCATTAAATGTATAGATTGCTTTAGGTAGCATAGACATTTTCACAATATTTGTTCTTCCAATCCAGGAGCATGGAACATTTTTCCATTTCGTTTTGTCTTCCTCGATTTCTTTCATGAGTACTTTATAGTTTTCTGAGTATAGATTCTTAGCTTCTTTGGTTAGGTTTATTCCTAGGTATCTTATAGTTTTGGGTGCAATTGTAAATGGGATTGACTCCTTAATTTCTCTTTCTTCTGTCTTATTGTTGGTGTAGAGAAATGCAACTGATTTCTGTGCATTGATTTTATATCCTGACACTTTACTAAATTCCTGTACAAGTTCTAGCAGTTTTGGAGTGGAGTCTTTTGGGTTTTCCACATATAGTATCATATAATCTGCGAAGAGTGATAGTTTGACTTCTTCTTTGCCGATTTGGATGCCTTTAATTTCTTTTTGTTGTCTGATTGCTGAGCTAGGACTTCTAGTACTATGCTGAATAGCAGTGGTGATAATGGACATCCCTGCCATGTTCCTGACCTTAGCGGAAAAGCTTTCAGTTTTTCTCCATTGAGAATGATATTTGCGGTGGGTTTTTCATAGAGGGCTTTGGTAATATTGAGGTATGTGCCCTCTATCCCTACACTTTGAAGAGTTTTGATCAGGAAGGGATGCTATACTTTGTCAAATGCTTTCTCAGCATCTATTGAGAGTATCATATGGTTCTTGTTCTTTCTTTTATTAATGTGTTGTATCACATTGATTGATTTGCAGATGTTGAACCAGCTTACAGCCCTGGAATAAATCCCATTTGGTCATGGTGAATAATCCTTTTAATGTACTGTTGAATCCTATTGGTTAGTATTTTGGTGAGAATTTTTGCATCTGTGTTCATCAAGGATATTGGTCTGTAGTTCTCTTTTTTGATGGGATCCTTTGATGGGTTTTGGGATCAAGGTGATGCTGGCCTCATAAAATGAGTTTGGAAGTTTTCCTTCCATTTCTATTTTTTGGAATAGTTTCAGGAGAATAGGAATTAGTTTAGTAGAATGTTTGGTAGAATTCCCCTGGGAAGCTGTCTGGCCCTAGGCTTTTGTTTGTTTGGAGATTTTTGATGACTGTTTCAATCTCCTTACTGGTTATGGGTCTGTTCAGGTTTTCTATTTCTTCCTGGTTCAGTTGTGGGAATGCATCCATTTCTTCCAGATTGTCAAATTTGTTTGCATAGAGTTGCTCATAGTATGTTCTTATAATTGTTTGTATTTCTTTGGTGTTAGTTGTGATCTCCCCTCTTTCATTCATGATTTTATTTATTTGGGTCCTTTCTCTTTTCTTTTTGATAAGTCTGGCCAGGGGTTTATCAGTCTTATTAATTCTTTCAAAGAACCAGCTCCTAGTTTCGTTGATTTGTTCTATTGTTTTTTTGGTTTCTATTTCATTGATTTCTGCTCTGATCTTTATGATTTCTCTTCTCCTACTGGGTTTAGCCTTTCTTTCTTGTTCTTTCTCCAGCTCCTTTAGGTGTAGGGTTAGGTTGTGTATTTGAGACCTTTCTTGTTTCTTGAGAAAGGTTTGTACTGCTATATATTTTCCTCTCAGGACTGCCTTTGCTGTGTCCCACAGATTTTGAACCATTGTGTTTTCATTATCATTTGTTTCCATGAATTTTTTCAATTCTTCTTTAATTTCCTGGTTGACCCATTCATTTCTTTAGAAGGATGCTGTTTAGTCTCCATGTATTTGGGTTCTTTCCAAATTTCCTCTTGTGATTGAGTTCTAGCTTCAGAGCATTGTGGTCTGAAAATATGCAGGGAATGATCCCAATCTTTTGATACCAGTTGAGACCTGATTTAGGACTGATGATGTGATCTATTCTGGAGAATGTTCCATGTGCACTAGAGAAGAATGTGTATTCTGTTGCTTTGGGATGAAATGTTCTGAATAGATCTGTGATGTCCATCTGGTCCAGTGTGTCATTTAAGGCCTTTATTTCCTTGTTGATCTTTTGCTTGGATGATCTGTCCATTTCAGTGAGGGGAGTGTTAAAGTCCCCTACTATTATTGTATTATTGTTGATGTGTTTCTTTGATTTTGTTATTAATTGGTTTATATAGTTGGCTGTTCCCACGTTAGGGGCATAGATATTTACAATTGTTAGATCTTCTTGTTGGACAGACCCTCCAAAGGAATTTTTATATGTTAAAGACAACTTACAGGGTCCTGGGGTTGGGAGAATGTTAAGCTAAGATTGCCTTTTGCCCTTAGCAAAGTATTAACATCAAGGCAGCTGAGTTCTTAGAGGAGTGTCACTCTGCCTGTCTCAAGGACTTGTCAGTGGGCCGTAAGTAGTAAGGAAATTAAATTTTTCTTTTGCCTTTGTTTCCCACATTGGTTTAATTTTTTAACATTAAAATGTGTCTTCTTCTTCTTCTTCTTCTTCTTTTTTTTTTTTTAATAGATTAAGCTGAGTGAAGTTGTTGGCTCAGGAAAAGATGGCAGAATACTTAAAGAAGATATTCTCAACTATTTGGAAAAGCAGACTGGAGCTATATTACCTCCTTCGCCAAAAGCTGAAATAGTGCCACCTGCACCACAACCAAAAGACAGAACTATTCCTACACCAGTATCAAAACCTCCAGTATTCACAGGCAAAGACAAAACGGAACCCATAAAAGGTAATAATAGTAATGTAGGGCACTACTACAAGTTATTTGGGGAAATTTACTTCAGTAGATCCAGGTGTATAGAATATGGTGTTTTCAATTCCTACTGAAGGGAACGTTTAAGTTGATCATACTTTTTTAAGTGGTGAAATAGCATAGTTTTTCCAGGAAATGCTTTAATCTCTACTGTTAATTTCTGAAGAGTATTATGTGAGCAGGTTTCTTGGAATATAAATTTATATACTAACAGTTGTTCTTTTTAAAGACTCAGTATGTTATAAATGTAATTTTTAGTCAGCTTCAGAATAATTAGATGTGATTTGTTACCTATAAACTCTTAGGATGATTAACTTCCAGAAGTGTGGCTTTGCAAGAAAGCCGGTAAGTAAATACATGACTTGTATCCTTTTATATTTTTTTAATATACCCCAGCATTAAGGGCACTTACCTCTTAATATCATTACACTTGACATTGGGTATTATGCTGCAGTCAGTGCTCCAGCATTGGAATTAATGTCTTTCAATTACATAATGAAGATGGTGGCCTTGAGAGGGAGAGTAGGGTTGAAAAAGTAAATGACATTAGAAAACCCTCCATTTTAGTAAAAAGGTTTAAAGGATTTAAGAAATTTAAAAATATGTGCCTGGGGGCACCTGGGTGGCTCAGTGGGTTAAGCCTCTGCCTTTAGCTCAGGTCATGATCTCAGGATCCTGGGATCCAGTCCCGCATCGGGCTCTCTGCTCCTCAGGGAGCCTGCTTCCTCCTCTCTCTCTCTCTCTGCCTGCCTCTCTGCCTACTTGTGATCTCTGTCAAATAAGTAAATAAAATCTTAAAAAAAAAATGGGGCGCCTGGGTGGCTCATTGGGTTAAGCCGCTGCCTTCGGCTCAGGTCATGATCTCAGGGTCCTGGGATCGAGTCCCGCATCAGGCTCTCTGCTCAGCAGGGAGCCTGCTTCCCTCTCTCTCTCTCTCTCTCTCTCTCTCTGCCTGCCTCTCTGTCTACTTGTGATCTCTCTCTGTCAAATAAATAAATAAAATCTTTTTAAAAATAAATAAATAAATAAATAAAATCTTAAAAAAAATAGAAATAAAAATAAAAATATATGCCTGGGTGGCTCAGTTGGTTAAGTGTCCCACTCTTGGTTTCAGCTCAGGTCATGGTCTCAGGGTCATGAGATTGAGCCACCTTGGGCTCTGTGCTCAGTGCAGAGTCTGCTTGAGATTCTCTCCGTCTGCCCCTCCCCCCACTAGGGCATGCATGCTCTCTCTCTCTCAAAAAAATAAATAAACCTTAAAAAAAAAAAGAGTTTAAAAATATATGTAAATTTGGGATTCTGGGTGGTACAGTTGGTTAAGCATCCCACTCTTGGTTTTAGCTCAGGTCATGGTCTCAGGGTTGTGAGATTGAGCCTGCCTTGGGCTCTGTGCTTAGCACGAGTCTGCTCAGAGGTTCTCTCTCCCTGGTCTGCCCCCGTGTACACACTCTCACATGCATGCTCTCTCTCCCTCTCTCTCAAATCTTAAAATATATATGTATTCAATGTTAATGTTAAAATACATATATTTAATGTTTTCCAGGCTTTCACAAGGCAATGGTCAAGACCATGTCTGCAGCCCTGAAGATACCTCACTTTGGATATTGTGATGAAGTTGACCTTACTGAATTGGTCAAGTTAAGAAAAGAATTAAAATCCATTGCTTCTGCTCGTGGAATTAAACTCACCTTTATGCCCTTCTTCCTAAAGGTGAGGTTTCATTCATTTCAAACAGGGCTTGAATAGGACATTAAAATTTTATTTTGGAAATATGCAATGTGTTAACTATGGATTTAGATAAAAATACTACTTCTCACCATATCATATAGTTAGAAAAATGTACAAGTGCATTATTTCTTTGTTTCTTAGGAATTTATAAAATTAAAATTTGTGTCATTTTTTTAAGATTTTATTTTTATTTGTTTGACAGACAGAGATCACAAGTAGGCAGAGAGGCAGGCGGGCAGGTAGTGGGGAATCAGGCTCGCCGTTGAGCAGAGAGCCGGATGTGGGGCTCGATCCCAGGACCGTGGGATCATGACCTGAGCCCACGGCAGAGGCTTTAACTCACTGAGCCACCCAGGCGCCCCTGTGTCATATTTTTATCAGCTCATCTCTCAGTCAGATAGTGGATTGTCTTGCCAGTTAAATAAAGCCTTTAATTTTGAAAGGATCACTCCAGCAAAATCCTGATTTGAACAAAAACAGGACTTGGTGTTGATCTTGCATAGATCACTGATATGTATCATTTTCATTTATTCAACAAACTTATATGGAGAGTCATAATTTCTTGGCCTTGTGACTGTTATAAAACCAGACTATCGGCTGACCGTAGGCAGTTCAGTATCTCACTCATATTAACAACCATTTATGAAGCAGGTGTCGTGTGGCCGACCCTGTACTGAGCATGCTATATACATCATCTCTTCTAATTTTCAGAATAAACCTGGCATGCAGATATTGCTATTCCCACTTTCCGTTTAAGGAAATTAGGAATTTCTCAGCTTCTCTAAGTTGAGAAACTTGTCAAGGATATATAGCTAAGTGGGGAAGCTAAGTTCCAGGTTCTGGTCTGTTTTACTCAAATACACATATAGGTGTCTCTAACTCCAGCCCTTTCTCCATACTGCACCAAGACAAATCTTTCATTTTTATAAATGAAAGCACTGTGTTATTCCCTGATTCTTTCCACTGGTCTCCTTCATTGTCCTCAGGTTAGTTTCTAAACCCCTTAATTTGGCAGATAAATAGGATTGCAAGTCTCTGCTTCCTACCTCTCCAGCTTCACCTCTCAGGCATTCCTTCTGGGTTGTTTTTTTTGTTTGTTTGTTTTTGTTTTTTTTTCAGTTTTGTTTTGTTTTGTTTTTCAGAGAGAGAGAGAGAGAGCACAACCAGGGGGAGTGGCAGGCAGAGGCAGAGGGAGAAGCAGGCTCCCTGCTAAGCAGGGAGCCCACTACGGGTCTCCATCCTGGGATCTTGGGATCATGACCTGAGCTGAAGGCAGACACTTAACTGACTGAGCCACCCAGGCGCCCCTCCTTCTGTTCTGGTCAGATTAAGCCTGCATAGTTGTTGGACTAGGTGACTTCATGTGAAATGCCCCCTCCTCCTTTGATCAAACACCTGCCCATCCTAAATGCCAAATTCTGTTCAGGAACAGCCTCCTCCAGAAGCCGTCTGTGGCTGTCACAGTTTGAGTTCGATATTCCTCTTGCCCATTGCAGTTCATCTCAGTGCAGTGCAAGTGTTGCTCAGTTTTCTCTTCACTGCGTGCTGAGCTCACAGGGCACAAACTGGTCTTTACCTCCATCGTTTCAGCTGCTACCCGAACAACTAAGTGATCTATGAACATGAGATGTAATAGATGTCTATAAATGAGATGCCTGGGCTATATTTTAGCTATAGAGTCATTTTTAGAGACACAGTCATCGAATCAGGTGGATGAAATTACCCACATGGTGTGCAAAGGAGGAGAAAAGGCTAAGGAATTTACATCAGTGTTTAAGGGATAGATAGAAGTGGATTTGGCAAAGACGGTGGAAGAGAGTGAATGGATCAGCGGTATGATGACAGAAAAACCGGGCAAGTGTCTCCTAGAAGCCAAAGTGTATCTCTTGGTGTATAATGGACCACTCCTAAGTTTAGTGGTTTGGAACAACAGCCATTTATTATTTCTCATGAATCCACAGGTAAGCAGGGCCAGTCTGCTGATCTTGGCAGAACTCACTTCTGTGTCTACAGACAGTTGGTATAGGTGGGCTAGTGTAAGATGGCCTTGGCAGGGATGACTCGTTTCTCTCCCTTATGTCTTTCTCAGCTCTGCAGCATGCTAGCCTGCACGTGGTTTCATAGTACTAGCAGGGATGAAGAGGAAGCAGAAATGCTCTAGCACTTTTTCCAAGCTCTGCTGTATCACGTTTGTTCTTGTCTCATTGACAAAGCAAGTCACATGACTGAGCTCAGAGTCAGCTTGCACAGAGCACCACCAAGGGGCATGGATACAAAAGAGGCATGAACCATTGGGGCCATTCACTCAGCCACTCATGCCAAGAGAGAAGAAAAATGTTGTGATGGGGATGCCTGGCTGGCTCAATTAGTAGAACATGTGACTCTTGATCTCAGGGTCGTTATTTTGAGCCCCATGTTGAGTGTGGAGATTACTTAAAAATGAATTTCAAAGCCTTTTAAGAAAAAAGTTAGGATGGGAATAGGCTATTGGATTAGTAATTAAGAGGTCATGAGTAGTAGTGCCTGGGTGGCTCAGTGTGTTAAAGCCTCTGCCTTAGGCTCAGGTCATGATTTCAGGGTCCTGGGATCGAGCCCCACATCGGGATCTGTGCTCAGCAGGGAGCCTGCTTCCTCCCCTCTCTCTCTGCCTGCCTCTCTGCCTACTTGTGATTTTTGTCTGTCAAATAAATAGATAAAATCTTAAAAAAAAAAAAGAGGTCATGTGTGGCTTTAGTTAGGACTGATTGAATAAAGTATTGTTGAGGTCGAAGCTTGACTCCAGTTGCTTGGTGGATGAATAGAAATCAAGGAAGAGGAGATGCTATAAATATCTGGTAAAAGGCAGATGGAGCTTAGGCACAGAGGGCAGGTATGGTGGTAGTTAGGGGTAGATTAAGGAAAGATTCCATCTGCCCTCTTCCCCTCCTGGAAAACCTGGAACAGATCTGAGGCTGAGGGAAAGCTGGAAAATGGAGAGTTAAAAATATGTGAGTGACAAATGACAAAAACATATGAGTGAAACTGGCGACATCTGTTTTGAAGGAAGGGGAGACCAGCTTTTTATTTTTATTTATTTTTTAATTTTATTTATTTATTTGAGAGAGAGAGAATGAGAGAGAGCATGAGAGGGGAGAAGGTCAGAAGGAGAAGCAGACTCCCTATGGAGCTGGGAGCCCGATGCGGGACTTGATCCTAAGACTCCAGGATCATGACCTGAGCCAAAGGCAGTCGCTTAACCAACTGAGCCACCCAGGCGCCCCGAGACCAGCTTTGTAATATGCTGGTCTTTGTAATATGCTATCATTTGTCTTCATCGTTTTAGTCTGAATGAAATACCTGATCTTTATTTTGAGAATAAAATTTAGTGTGCTTTATTTGTTTTAAAACGACATTTTTTCTGCCTGTATAAGTTTCAGAACATTCAGGAAATACTAGAATGTATTGTATAGGGAAGAAAATAACTTCTTATTGAGGGACTCACCCCCACCTTGTTTTTTCTTTTACAAAATTTGGACTGTACTCAAAATTATGTTAACACTTTAACCGTAATCATGGATTTTTATATAAAGAAGATTAAATTTACAGATGTCAAATCAAATGCTTAGTAAAACTTGCCTTAACTCTCTAGTTCGAGGAAATGATTTTTTTTTTCAACCACTGACCCCCAGACAAAAATAATACTTAACACAATGCTGATAAATAACTCTTAGTTGAACTAGAGGAAGGCCAGGAGGGGGGGGGTAGATTTTAAGGACAATCTTAAGCATTTTTACTTGCCTATTTTAAATGTAATACAAGGCATGACAACCAAATGCAGTGTGTGAGCTTTGATTAGATCCTGGATGGGCAGAAAAACAGGGTATAAAGAACATTTGGGGGAACAGTTAGGATAATTTGAATATGGATAGAAGAGGAATGGTACCGAGTAAGAAGAAGGAAAAGGAAAAAGGATGAAGGGAGAAGAAAGCAGAGAAGGGAAACAAAAATGCCATCAATTTGGGGAGGTGGCCAATAAGTAAACGTTCATACCAGCTGTGCCCTTCACTTGGCCAAGGACACCAAGAGGAACACTAGCCTCGCATGGTCAGTGCCCTTGGAAACCCTACGTGCTTGTTCTTTCTATACAGGGAAACAGCTTGCTGCCTTTTTGTTTTAACTCAGTGTGTTTCTGAACTTCAGATTTGCTTCTCATGTAAGATTCTACATGTAAAATTCTTCTCCTATAGAATTTAGACATTTTGTTTGGTACTTTGGTCAGTCTCTACACTTATTTTGAAAATCTCCTGATGTTTATAAGCTGCCTGACAACTTTATTTTTTATTCTTCAGTGATTAGGGTGACCTGGTTCCACCCTCCTTGAAGGTGATATTGGGAGTAGTATGCCTAGGTACATAAAGACGAGAAATTAAGCTCAGTGTAAATAAGGGTTCTCACCCTCCCTCCCTCACCCCCCTTATTGCTTCCGATTCCCTTTCCCAGTTAAGAGTGTTAATGTTGCGTTCTCTTTCTGTTAAACAGGCTGCTTCCTTGGGACTACTACAGTTTCCTATCCTTAATGCTTCTGTGGATGAAAACTGCCAGAACATAACTTACAAGGTTGGCTATGTGTTGTGGAAAAGTGCTTGTTATAAATAGAAAATGGTACAGCTATGCTTATAGGTTGGAAAAGCTTCTTTTGTACCCCGAAGAGTGAATTTTTTTTTTTAGACTAGAATTAAAGGTATAGGATAAACTATTAAACTGAAATATAATTTGTTATTTTTACTGGTTTTACTGGTTACTAATGATACTGTTCAGATATATGGAGTTCCATTTTCTAAGTCCCTTTGGCTTATTGCTTAAAATAATGGAAATAAGTGGCCATCAGGCAATGGATTATGTTAACAAGCCTACATACCCTCCTCTCAAAGACATAACCTCTGTCAAAATGGAGTTCCTGCAGTTTTTAAAACAAGAATAATTTTTTTTTTTTTAAGATTTTCTTTGTTAATTTGACAGAGAGAGACACAGCGAGAGAGGGAACACAAGCAGGGAGAGTGGGAGATGGAGAAGCAGGCTTCCTGCAGAGCAGGGAGCCCGATGCAGGGCTCGATCCTAGGACCCTGGGATCATGACCTGAGCCAAAGGCAGACACTTAACGATTGAGTCACCCAGGTGTTCCAAAATAAGAATAATTTAAACAGAAATAGGACAAGTAATGAAAGTATGCATTCCATTTGAATGAGCCCTTCTGTTTGGAGTGAAGCATTATTGAGACTAAGTACTGTTTTGGGGATGCTAATCATTATTTATATTTCTATCTAGTAGTAAGCTTAGGTATTTTAGCGGGTCAGATCTAAAATCTTCCCATATGAAGGGGCGCCTGAGTGGCTCAGTCAGTTAAGCATCCAACTCTTGATCTCAGCTCAGGTCTTAATCTCGGGGTCGTGAGTTCAAAGCCCAGATTGGGCTCCATGCTGGGTGTGAAGCCTATTTTTTTAAAAATTAATTAATTAATTAATTAAAATCTTCCCATATGATTAGTACAATTTCCTGATTAAGTATCTACTTGTAAAAAATTCAGGCAAGAAATTAACTATTTACGTTTAATCTCATGACCCTAAGATAACTCACTGTTGATGTTGAGATGTGCATTCTTCTAGAATTTTATTTTCACATATTTTTTAAAAAATAGTATTTTTATTTTATTTTTAAAAAATATTTATTTATTTGACAGAGATCACAAGTAGGCAGAGAGGCAGGCAAAGAGGAGGAAGCAGGCTCCCTGCTGAGCAGAGAGCCCGCTGTAGGGCTCGATCCCAGGACCTTGGAATCACGACTGGAGCCGAAGGCAGAGGCTTTAACTCACTGAACCACCCAGGCGCCCCTCTAGAAAGTCTTACATAGCCCCCAGCTTATATATCCACTAATAATGAATGGAAATAGCCTTTTGCCCAATATTCTTACCAACAAAAAATTATTTTTTCCAAAAAATCTTTTTTTTTTTTAAAGATTTTATTTATTTATTTGACAGATAGAGATCACAAGTAGGCAGAGAGGCAGGCAGAGAGAGAGGGGGAAGCAGGCTCCCTGCTGAGCAGAGAGCCGGATGCGGGGCTCGATCCCAGGACCCTGAAATCATGACCTGAGCCGAAGGCAGAGGCTTTAATCCATTGAGCCACCCAGGCGCCTCTCCAAAAAATCTTTTTAAAATTCTTTAAAAATTCTTCAGATCATCAATCTGGTAGAAATAGTTTTTGGTTGTTTTTCATAACAAAGGTTAGTCCTTTCTTTTCTGTTAACTTATGAAAAGGCCTACTATATAATTTTTTTTTTTTTTAGGCTTCTCACAACATTGGGATAGCAATGGATACTGAGCAGGGGTTGATTGTGCCTAATGTGAAAAACGTCCAAATCTGCTCCATATTTGAGATCGCCACTGAGTTGAACCGCCTTCAGAAATTGGGCTCTGTAGGTCAGCTCAGTACCACTGATCTTACAGGAGGAACATTTACTCTTTCCAACATTGGATCAGTGAGTAATAGAAACATTCAAATTCTAAACTGTAACTGTAATTCTGATCATATGCTCAATTAAAATTATAATATTTCATTTCCCATTTGTTCCTCAAAAGCTTAATTTTTCTACTCTTCTGTTTTACTTTACTTTTTTTTCTTTTAGATTGGTGGTACCTATGCCAAACCAGTGATACTGCCCCCTGAAGTAGCAATTGGGGCTCTCGGATCAATTAAGGTATGTTTATTAAATAATTGGCAAAAGAGTTTTAGCAAATTGGGAGGGTAAACACAAGACTCATTTCTGAAGTTTCTGAACTTCATAGGTTTGAGTGTAACATTTGGCTCTGTAAGCCAGTTATTCTTCCTAAGAGGTAGGCCTGCAATTGCAGTGGCTGCCTCTATGTATAGGAAATGGTGGTGATCTGGATTGTTCCATATGGAACCACTGTAGTTCATGCTAGGCACAGATGCACATCTTTATGGAAAATCACAAATACAGTCAATATGCTTCTATCAAAATATCTTTATTTCCAAAGACCACAGATAATAGTAAGCCAGTCTAAATTATTTATAACAAAGCGAGACACCGTTTAGACCATTTTTCTCATACTTCACTCTGCTCAAGACTCATTGAGAGTACTAGTTAAAAATGTAGTATTCTTGGGCGCCTGGGTGGCTCAGTGGGTTAAGCCGCTGCCTTCGGCTCAGGTCATGATCTCAGGGTCCTGGGATTGAGTCCCGCATCGGGCTCTCTGCTCAGCAGGGAGCCTGCTTCCCTTCTTCTCTCTCTGCCTGCCTCTCTGCCTACTTGTGATCTCTCTCTCTCAAATAAATAAATAAAATCTTTAAAAAAAAAAATGTAGTATTCTTGGGGGGCCTGGGTGACTCAGTCGGTTAAGCATTCTGCTCTTGATTTTGGCTCCGGTCATGATCTGAAGGTTGTGAGATTGAACCCTGCATTGGGCTCTGTGCTAGACATGGAGCCTCCTTAAGATTCTCTCTCTCTCCCTCTGTCCCCCCCTTTCCCCCACCCTCTCTTAAAAAAAAAAAAAAAGAAAGAAAGAAAGCAGTATTCTTGGCTTTGGGGACAGAGCCCCCAGAACTTAACATTTTAAACAAGAACCCAGGTGATTCCAACATGAGTGATCTCTTGGCCATGTTTTAGGAGACACTGACTTAGAATTAGGGTTGCAGTGATTCTTTTTTTTTTTTTCCCCTAAGATTTTATTTATTCATCTGACACAGAGGGAGAGACACAGCAAGAGAGGGAATACAAGCAGGGGGAGTGGGAGAGGGAGAAGCAGGCTTCCCACTGAGCAGGGAGTCTGATGCAGGGCTCGATCCCAGGACCCTGAGATCATGACCTGAGCTGAAGGCAGACTCTTAATAACTGAGCCACCCAGGCACCCCAGGGTTGCAGTGATTCTTGGCTACAAATTACAGTCATCCGGGAGCTTGAAAAAAATGTTTAAGCTCACTCTATACCAACTGAATTACAACTGGGTGGGGGGTGGTGGTACAGAGCTTGGGCATCTCTGTTAACTCAGTGTTGAGAGGCATCAGAATCAAAGAATTAAGCTCTTGGATTCCATTGCAGTACCACCATTATTAAATGTCATCACTATTTTGACTTATTTTGGTGTTCATGTTTTCAGAAGAATCTTTCTTTCTTTATATTTCTGATGTTTGCACACCGAGCATGTCTGGGACTTGTCTTTCATGAGTTACCATTTTTGTATTGGCATCTAAAATTTCCACAGATACTTTCATTCGGCCTTTGATTTGCTCTCTTGCAGATAGTACTTTAGCTGCTATGCTATTCCTTTTCCTAGCAGCAACCTTCCCTCCTGGCACACAGAGGACATAGGGGAGAAAAAAACCCCAAAACACATAGCAGACTCTGTTCTTTGGAAATCGGGAGTTTCTCTGAATATACCTTCCCTGTCACCCATTCCCCAGCCAGCAAGAGCTCAGCATTTGAATCTCCCAGGATTCTGATTTCCTATAGGTTCCCAGCTATGATACCTACTTGGCAAAGTCTTGTTTTTCCCTTTCATTAAAGAGATGTATTATCCTCTGGATTATATGTACATACATACATACATACACATTTATATATAAACCTATATATAAGTCTATATATCTATATATATTTCTCTCTCTCTCTCTCTTTCTATATATATATATATATACACACACATACAATTATATATATAATTGTGGTAAATTATACATAAGATAAATTTACCATGCTAACATGTACAGTTCAGTGGTATTACGTACATTCACATGTTTACAAACGTCACCACCATCCATCTCCAGAACTTTGTCCCAGACTGAAACTGTGCACCTATATTAACATGTTTTGTTTATTTGCTTGGCTCTAATGAGTTGGGTTGTCTCCTTTCTTTGGTTCTTGTGAAGACTGCTGCTGTGAACATTGGTGTGCAAATATCTTTTCACTAGGTGTCAGTTTACCAAATCATTTGACCCATGATTTCATCAAGCTAAGAAGAATAGTTCTTGAAGTATAAACCTTCTGATATTTTCTGGGTAGGAACAAGTAGGGCGTATTTCATTCTTCTCTCTCAGTGTATCCTCTCTCCTTTGCTACTTTCTGTTTTCACTGTAAATTTTGAATGTCTTGTTGATAAATGGTCTAAGTCACTAATACCCCACATAACTCACTTCTCAGTGCTTGTCTTCCCTGACCTGTTAGCCACACTGGAGTCAGTTGACTGACACTACTTCCTTGGAAAGTGTCCTTCACTACGACTAGTAGAATACCTTGCTGTTACAGCTTTCCTCCCATCTACTGCTTGTTCCCTCTGAGGCTCCTCTGCCCAGGCTGCCTTATTTCCTAATCTCTAAGCCTCTGAGTACCCCAGGGCTCAGTTCTGGCCCTCTTCTTGATCTTTAAGCACCATGTATATGCTGATGACATCCAAGTTTATATCTCCAGACCTGGCCTCTCCTTTGACCACCAAATTAATATATCCTAGTTGGATATCTAATTAGGCATCTTGAATTTTCTGTTCCTTTCCTTGCCACCCCCCACCCTCAAACTTGCTCCTTCTGAAGTTTTCCCTTTTTGGTAAATGGCCATTCTTCCCAGAGACCTCCTCCTGTAGCTTCTCACCTCACTCAGTTTCAGGGCCATTTGAACCTATGTGGTGGCTTCCATGGCCCTGCACTGGTGCTCCTCAGTGTAATCAGGGACCCATGTGGAGCTGTGACTGCTGTATCCCGTGAGGAGACTGTGAGGAGGTCACTGCCGAAAGGGAAAGTAGGGCTTAGATACTTTCACAGCAGTCTGACAGGTGATTTTGGGTCTATTGAATCTAATAAGAAGTTAGGGCTTATGTTTTCTTTATCTTTTTAAATTTTTCTTTAAATTTGTTTGTCTTTAGTAATTTAACTGACTGAGCCACTTAGGTACCCTTTAGTAATTTAATATGTTTTTTTAAAATAGCTTGCAATGGAATAGAAATTTTTAAAAAAACAACCGTAGGGCATTTACCAAAGACAAATTGAGAAGCATTGCTCTTGACAATGTGCCCTGCCTTCCGCCTGCTCCCTCTGTGACCTCATCTCCTACCTCCCACCCCTACTGCCATCCTGCCCACCTTGCTGTTCCTCCAACAGTCCAGCCCTGCTTCCCCTCTGTATCTCTTGGAGTATCCACCTGGCTTTCTTCCTCAGCCTCGGTGAGGCTTTCCCTGCCCAGCCTGTCAAACAAAAAATGCTGCCTGCACCTGGCCCCTGCCTACCTTCTCTCCAATTTCTGCATGATATATTTTTCCTTTGCACTTTTCATTATCTAACATGTTATATATTTTACTTATGTATCTTAATTGTCTCTCTACATTAAAATGTTAGCTCCAAGAAGGCAAGGAATGTTGCTTCTTTTGGTTTAGCTCCATAGTTGAGAAGAGTACCTGGTACATAGTAGGTGCTCAATAAATATTTGTTAAGTAATTGAAATCTGAAATGAGATTTACTGTATATATGGAAATTGTGCAGGGGACAGGAAGTACCCTGGGGAAACTGAAAGCTCGAGGCAAATATAAAAATGGGAAAAATTGGAGTTAGCGTTTTCAAGTCATTTTGGGATGCCTGTTTCTTCTATTACAACGAGGGGAATTTGCTTAATCTTTCACTGTTGCTGTTGCTAGAGCCTTCGAGCAAGTGAAGGTTGACTGTTCTTTGCCTTGTTTCTAGGCCCTTCCCCGATTTAACCAGGAAGGAGAAGTATATAAAGCACAGATAATGAATGTGAGCTGGTCAGCTGATCACAGAATTATTGATGGTGCTACAATGTCACGCTTCTCTAATTTGTGGAAATCCTACTTAGAAAACCCAGCTTATATGCTACTAGATCTGAAATGAAGATTCATCGGATGTCTTTGAACTTTTTGAGCTTCCAAAGAATATGTAGAGCTAGCTGTGCAGCTTCATCACAATTTGTATTAGAAATGATCTGTATTATATGATTAAGGTTCCAAGGCACAATATTTCTCACTGTTCTGTTAGACTTTTTACCGAAAATGAATGATGGTGTAAGAGTTCTTCTGCGGCTGTCACATTTTATAGGTCATGATGTCACTTCTTAATATGGTGCAGAGGTCTTTGTGTCCCTGGGTTGAAACTAGCAAGAACAACAAAATTAATGTTACTAAAAGACAGACTGCCATATCCAGTGTTTACCCTATCTTTCTTTCTTTCTTTTTTTATTTTAGACTGACCTTAGTGAAACTTCTCAGTTACACTTAGTTAGGAAAAGGAATTTATGTACAGAAGTATCTTCCATTTCCCCACAATAGAAATGAGAGATAACACTAACTGTTGGATAAGTGCAATTACTTAACCTTTTAAGATATCCATGATTATGTTGCTCCATAGAGATTATCTGTAAATGTCTTGTTTATATAAATTAATATCTTTTAAAAGGGAAAATTATAAGCTAATCTTAAAAATGCCCAATTATAAGGATGCTTGGCTGGCTCAGTCAGAAGAGCATGTGACTCTTGATTCCAGGAGTCATGAGTTCAAGCCCCACATTGGGCATGGAAAAAAAAAAAAGCCCAATTATAGTTTTATAACCAGTAAGGCTGTCAAAAAGCATTTGTTTACAATGAATATACTTTTTGAAATTTGGTAACATTTTTGTGTTTTGTTAGGAAAAAAACTTCACCTTGGCAAACTTGCCTCATGTAAGGAAAGTGCTTTAAATGTAGCAGCTGCTGACATTGTCTTACATTTAGAAGTCCATTGCCCTTTAACTATTTTTTATCCTTCTTGTCTTTAGCTAAAACATAGGATAGGATAATGTATTCCATTCTCCGTATCCTGAGAAGGAATGTGAATAAGAGGAGAGAGAAGAGTCTAATGGGTAATTATGGACATTAAAACGATAAATATTATATAGAAATGGAGGTATCAGAATGATCTTTTTGTAAGAGGCCCACTTTAATCAGAAGTAGCATCAAGGTGAATATAATCCAACATTTTGATTTGCATTCAGAAATCCAGGTTGCTTCTAATATTGTCTATATGTTCAAGTGAAATTTTGTAACAAAAAAGTTGTTGTAAATCTCAATTTTTTTCAAAATGAGAATCATGTAAATTAGAAAATAATCAAATGAATGTTATTTTTAAAATTTAGATAGTACATTACGGAGTTACAAAGAAAATAAAGTCATCCATAATCATATTACTGTTAACATTTAGATCAAGGTATCTGTATACATAGCTATTCTTTTTATAAAAATGAAATCATGCTATATCTACTATTTTATAATTTGATTTTTTAATTTAACATTATGGGTAACTTTACATGTCAATAAACAATTCTACATTATTGTACTTTAAGTGGCTGTATAATATTCTGTTATGTGTATTTGTTATACATTTGATACTAAACTTCTGTACAGCAGGCATGATGCTAAGCGCTGGGCACAGAATGCCCTCCCTAATGGTCCCTGCCTTCACTGGGTTTACAGTCTAGTAAGGAGGAGGAGGCAGATACTAAATAATCATTAAAAGTAAAGTATCATTACATGTCTAAGTAGGAAAAAACAGGGTGCTGTGACAGCATCTAATAAAGGTTACTAATCCTGTCTTAGAGGGTTAGGAGAGTATGTACCATAATTTAACCTGTCCTCTACTGATGGCATTTGCAGAATTTTAAATGAAGAACAATATGTTCAATTGTCTCTTTCTCTCTCTCTCTCTTTTTTATGAAGGAGATAGAAGTTTACTGAATATACCATAAGGGAGTGGCAGGCAGGACAGCAGAGAAGAGGCTGTCTGCCTGGTCAGTTGTCTTCTAAGGAAGATTCCCCAAAGCCACTCTGGACACTGTCCCTTACTTCCCACTGACTATAACTATAATTTAGTTATATGGCCAACCTAGTTGAAAAAAGTGTGGGAAATAAGAGGGCATGTGCTTAGCTAAATATTTTGTTACTTTGGGTAAAGGAGAGAAAGGCTGTTAGGAGATAATTGCCATCTCTGCTAATAGAAGATATTTTATACATTTTAAGTTAAAGACTATAATACATAAAGCAATTTCTTCATGTCACACATCCACTACAGTGCAAACTGAGGCTCAGTCCGGGTAGATCCACTTGCTACTCTGTCACATTATGTCTTAGCACAAGTCTGACCAACTTCTCTTACTTAAGCTAATAAGCAATAGAGAGTAGTAATGGGTTATCACTATCAAGTGAAGTGCCTGATGAAGCCCAGATATTACTTTATCCTGTTTCAGGTCTTCTCTAAGCTTTCTCAGCAATTGAGAAGGCTGAGTTTCATTTCTATTGTTTTCTTTTCTACTCTTGTCCCCTGGGACATATCATAAGTACCACTATCGAAAGGGTCAACAATTTGAGGCGATAAAAATGCAGGGACTACCTGTTGCATTCCATTGTTCAAATTTCTCTCTTCTTCAGCCTGAACCTGTATTTTTAAAGTGTAACGGTCAGGACATTTTCCACTGCAAGTGACAAAAGCCTAATTCTTCCTGGGTTATATTACAAAGGGTATTTCATTCATATTAACTGAAATGCTCAGGGTATCAGTTTCAGGTATGGCTGGATCCAGGGACTTAATAAATTCAAGACGGTCTCTGTTTCTCTCTGTCTCTATCTCTGTCTCTTTACTCTGTATCTCTTGGATCTCAAGACAAGCTGTTCCAATGTGTTGACAAAGATGCTTACGAGTAGCTAGACTTACATTCCTCAGAACTCACATTCTTTTTCCAGTTAAAATCCCAAGGAAAGTTTCAATTGTTCTGGCTTGGTTCATGCCTATCAATGTGGGCAGGAGAATACAATACCCTGATTGGCCAGGCTTGGATATTAATGGTCATCCTTGGACCCTGGGAGTCAGTCAGTCCCATTCAACCACATGGAGTAAGAAAGGGCATCTGGAAGTATATCTGAGTAGAGTGAAAGCCAAAAAAGTCAAGTACATAAAGTGAGTTGTTGCCTTTCCACGCCTCATATTAAATAATAAATGTTTTCTAAGAAAGTTCTTGAAGAACCTGGGTAGAGAGGAAGCAGAAGAGGTGGAATAGGGAGTGGGAGGTAAATACAGACGATAATATTAAACTGTGTGCCTGTTAGTTGTGATTCCAAGAATTTACAGTATCACTGACAAAAAGTATTTGTATTTTCTTCCTAGTTTTCAGTGTTGATGAGCAGTAATTTCATTCTCAAACTTCAAATGATGCAATGTTGATAACTCAACCAATGTCAAAATACAAATTACTAGCTTCAGTATTTTCACCTAATCTTTCTTAAAATTCTTGCATGCTAATCTATTTTTGCATGCTAATCTATTCACTAGCTTTGATGTTTTACACATATACTGGTGTATTAATTGTGGCAGAAGGAAAAAGTCTAAGTTAGATTTTTCAAAGCCCATTTCTATGAAAAAACAGAAGATGAACAGAACCTTATGGCTTGCCATAGGGATATTTATCAAGAGAAAAAGAAGATACACATTTCAATTTACCTGACACATTCTACAAGAAATCATGGCTGCCAGGTTAGTCTCAAACAGATTCCTTCTAAATTCTGCAGCAAATGCCTGAGCCAGTCTTCACAGTACCTGCGCCAATCTTTTCTGCTCATTTAAGCACCTGCACAGATGTCTCCCCAGCCGTGTTGTGTTAAGGAGAAAAAAATTCCTAATGTTTTTAGAGAAGACAAGGTGATTCAACCCAATGATCTTTCATTTCTCCCCTTTTTACCTCAAAACCTCTACCTTCTGACACTTTCCCTTTGTTTTCTTTTTGAGGAAGATGTGATTCTCCACCAAAAATCAAGCTTGCTACTCTCTATTATTAATCCCATTTCTTCCTCCTGATCCTTGCTTTATGTTTAATCCACGGCCCCATTTTGATCTTTTAGTCTCTGCCTCACATGTAGAACTGTACCAGATGCAGTCCTCTGGCACACTGGTTAAGGTTCATTTCCAGGACTTATTGGAAACTGATCCCAGAACTCTTGGCAAATTTACTTTTTTTTTTTTTTTCTTACTGATGAATGTGTCAGGATCATGTTGTATATCCATAAACCTGTTTCCTTTTCTTTTTGGGCACACAGTTAAATATTTTCCAGCCTAGCCTGCAGTTAGGTAGGGCCATGTAATTTATTTCTAGCCATTGCAATATGGGTAGAAGTGATGTAAACCAATTCCAAACGTAGCCCATAGAACCTCCCAAGAGATCCTCCGCACTCCTCCTCTTTCCTTTCCATAGCAAGCCTCAAGCCTTTATATTGAAGATGGCAGCCACACAAGATGGAAGGAGCCAACATCTCCAAATGATTTGGTGGCATAAAGCCTCCCCACCACCACCCCAGCTCTGACTGGATTCGATGTGATACAGGTGAAATAACTTCTATTGTTAGAAGACACTGATCCTTTGAGATTAATCTGCTCTTCTAGGTAGTAATAACCCTAACTCTGAGCTTAGCAATGCTTATCACTTGTGACTAAATTTAAACCTGTTTAAATTTAATCATTGTAGCTATTGAGCAACTGAAATGTGGCTAGTATAACTAAGAAGCTGAATTTTATTGATTTTTAATTAATTAAAATTTAAATGTAGAGAGTCACATGTGGCTAGTGGCTACCATATTGGACATTGCAGATACAGAGTATTTCCATCACCATAGAAAATTCTAGTGAATAGTGCTGCCCTAATAAATAGAACTGTTCTTTTTAAATAATCTCTTGCCCCTAGAAACTCTCTACTTCAGTAAAACTAATTTCCCTCTACCTAAAAGAAATCTCCAAACCTTCCTTTCTCACATTGTTACCTTTACTTGCCACCACAGGAATGAACTATCCTACCCTTCCTGCCTTTGCCTACCTTCTTGACTGGGTGGTCTCGAACTCCTTGCAGTCTGTCTTCCTTCCCTACTGCTCACCTGTAATCAGTATACTTGGCAAAAGTTTGGCCACGTCTCTCTCCCAGGTGTGGCCTAAATTCTTCTCTCTGGATCCACCTGTCTCCTGAGCTCTAGGCACTCATTTTCACTCTTTAGCATCTCAAGGTTACCACGTGTTTCAGTGCTATCTCATCAGAGAAACCAGGTCAACTCTGAATTATTTACACCAAACCCTGAGATGGCTCATGTTATCATTGTTATCTCCATAAAATAACCACAGCACTTTCATGTTCCAGAAGGCAATCACCATTTAGGCAAACACTGAAGGTAGCATGAACCCCTGACCTTTGCAAGCTCAGAATGAAATGGAAAGGAATTCATGATGAGGCAGTTCCAGTCCTGAGCAGGAGGGCTTTGACCATGAGCTAGTTCATGTGCTAGTCAGACCCTTGTGAGAGAACTCTAGGCCAGCTTGCTAAAACTGAGCAGGAGAATTTGGAGACAGTCCAGACGAGAGCCACAAAAGCGAAGCATGACAAGAGTAATTGAAGTTGTGTTACAGAGGCCGTCTATATTAGGCTCCTACTGAGTATCATGTGGAATGTTACAACACAAAGCATTGGGAACAGCTGTTCTGGGC